AGACTCATAGTGATCTGCCGGTTTACAGCCTCCCAAGAGCTGGCACTACAGACATGTGCCACCATGCCCAGTCTCAATTGCAGTCTCAGCGTGCACCAAGGACAGGGCTGGTGCAGCAGGCCTGGGGATCAAACCCCTGTCCCCTTTGCCTGCTTGCAGGTGTTTTAATCCACTGAGCTTTTTGGCCAGCCCAGTCTTTCATTCTTTTAAATGTATTTGGTTGTTGCAGAGTCTCACTACGCAGCTCTGACTTGTGGTGATCCTCCTGCTTTCAGCCTCCCCAGCACTGGGATTACAGGCATGTCTGCCCCAGATTCTGTTTGTTTGTTTGTTTGCTTGTTTGGTGGAATCTGGAATTGAACTCAGGCCCTTACACTTGCCAGGGAAGCACTTATTCTACTGAGCCATCACCCCAGATTCTGGCTGACTCAGCCTGCCCTGTGGTGCCGGGATCAAACCACAGTCCCTGTGCTTGCCTAAACTTGCCTAAGCAGGCACTTCAGTCTGCGGAGCCATCTCGCCAGCCCCATTTTTTTCTTTTTCCTTTTAAAGATAGTTTCACTGTGTAGTTCAGGCTGGCCTTGAACTCACAGTGGTCTTCCTGCCACAACCTCCCAAGTACTGGGATTATAGGCATGTGCCAACATACCTGCCTGAGCATCAGAACTTAGGGTTTTTTTTTCCCTGTTTCTTCTTCTTCTCCTTTTTTATTTTATTTTATTTTATTTTTATTTGCAACCAAACTGATACAAATCTGTCCAAGTCTAGAAGAGATACAGATTCCTACAGTGTCCCAGGGGCAGGGAGACAGTGATGATGAAAGTTTTTGGAATCGCTGGGCATGGTGTCATGTGACTGTAATCCCAGCACTCAAGATGCTGAGGCTTTGTTATAGTGGGGACATGGGAAAGGGCATTTCCAGGAAGGGGAGCTGTATGTCTCCAAAAAAAGCAGAGCCATAGTGGGTGTGAGGGCAGCAGTGTCTCAGCTCCTGGGAACAGTAGGGAGCCACAGAAGGCTGCTGAGGGAGGGAAGCGTGCCGCAAACCTGCTTGTACTTCCTGGGGCCCCAGCTACCCAGGCTCGCTCTTCTCTCCAACTTCCTCCAGGCCCTGGCCAGGGTGCGAGGAGGGGTCACTGTGAGTTAGGCTTAAGCTGCATCTGTATGCAAACCCTCTGGGAGGCCAGGCAGGGGTGGGACATCATGCAAATGTGCACCTTTTGGGGGGCTTGACCTGGACCTTCTCATTAATAGGACCAGGTGCTGAGTGAGAACCCCTTCCTCTCTGGGGGCCCCCTTTCCCCTCCCCCAGCCCTCTTCACCCCCCTCCATATCCCCAGGGGCTGTCTTCAGTTGTGTCTTTCTGCCCTGTCCCAAAGGAAGCCTCTGTGTCCCTTGCAGTGGCGTAACTCACCTATGCTGCTGTGCAGACTGCCTGGCTTCTTCCTGAGCACGCCCACGGCCTCTCGCCCAACTCACATATACTGGCATCTTCTGTGTATTTTCCTTTACATATTGATTGATTGATTGATTGATTTAATTTTTTTTTTTTTTTTTTGCGGAACCGGGGATTGAACTCAGGCCCTTGCGCTTGCCAGGGAAGCGCTTATTCCACTGAGCCATCTCCCCAGCCCTACATATTGATTCATTAAGACAGGTTCTCGGGGCTAGTGAGATGGCTCAGTGGTCTAAAGCACTTACTTAGAACAAGCTCAACAAAGCACAGGGACCGCGGTTTAATCCCCCAGCACCACGTGCCAGCCAGCCCCGCCCCCTGGTGGGCTGAGCTGG